AAAATAAATTATTATTTTAAGCTCCCCATGTATTAGCAAACAGAGCTTATAACTTATTTGTAGCTCAAAATAAACTATAAGCTCTAAAATAAACTCTGATCTTTCAACTTATTTGTAGCTTAAAATAAATTTTACCAAATAAAGCTATAGCATACATATTTACTAAAAAAGTATTGACATTCGAGTAAAAAACAATACTTTTTTTTTTTTTTTTGAAGTATTATGTGCTCACTAAAAATTAATAGTCTATAATTTTTTTAAAATATTACATTTTTCTAAAAGTGTATTATATTTTTCTTAAAAATCATTAATCTTTGATTGAAAAGTATTACATTTCGGTTGTAAGTTTGTAACTTTTTTTTTATTTTTTTTATTTATAAATATTAAGTGTTTGCTAAAAAGTACAAGCATTTGATTGAAAAGTTACAAGCCAAAAAATGAACACACTTTGACTCATATTTGTTATTTAATTTTTGGCTTGCCTCTAATTATTTTGGAGGTTTTTTGAAAAAATCAATCTGTGGATTGTATTAACTGATTTAAGCTATAATAGCGTCAGGAGGGATAGAATCCCAATACATAGAATGTTCCTGAGTAAGAGCTAACGAAGCTAAAGTATGCGCATGCAAATTAAACTGTCTAGGCACATAGCTTAATGAAACAAAACTAAATAAAGACATCATTATCTTGCACTGATCAATTACTAACCCAGCGTACGAGCGAACTTCCCGGGTGTAGTTTGGTGATGTATAGCGGTTCGCAGAACCATACAATCCGTGAGCAGATCGGCTGTATTAATACTCCTTTCTACTAACCAGGACAGTGCCTCTTTAAAAGACATAGCCTCCGCCATGAGTGGTGAGAAACAAACAGGTAATCTGCCATTCTTAGCTGCCACAAACGAGCCACCGGGCTCCAATAACACAATTCCATACGTAGCCTCCCCGGTTTCCTGCCGAAACCCCGCATCTATATAGCATCGCATGTGATTGCCGGGCAACACCGGTTCGGATTGTGCCCGTAAACCATCTCTCGCCGTACGACCGTGTATCGCACCATAAGCATTCATCAAGGTTGCCACCCCCTTCACCACAGCCTGCGGCCGTGCCATGGCCCCTTCCCACACTGTCGAATTGCGATTTCTCCAAATATTGTATAGAACACCCACCATCAGTTGTGTTTGTTCTTCTGTTAGAATTGCCATACCCTGGTTAACCATTCCGCAAATGAATCTGTAATAATATTTGTAATAGGTAATTGTGTTATATTCCAAACTAATACAGAATATTCACAATAAACTAATGCATGCAACATATCTTCATTATTAAATCTGCACATAGGGCATGTCGGGTCTATCTCCACCCTCCTATTAATTTGATTTGTAGGTAGTGGGTAAAATATCACATACTGCTCTCCACAAAAAAGTCTTTCATTTTGGTGGTACTTTCAATTTCCACATCTTAACCCATTTATCAAAATCACCTGGGTTATTCTCATAATCCCCAACAATACGCCTGTAGGCATTCTTTACTGAATAAATACCTTTTGGGTCACCTATCCAGTACCATGAGTCATCATAACCAGGGCTAACAGGAATCATAACTATTCTGCTCACATCCTCCGGGATAAATAAATCAGATAAAATATGTGGATCCCAGGTTTGTGTTTGTGGGTCAATCAAACCTGCTACTCGTGCATCTCTTAACTCCTCAGGCATAATTGTTTGTACAAGGGACTTGGATTATCCTGGAGCCATGGGTGTCCCCAAATAAGAGTTGTCTCCCCATTTCCAATCCTGCGTCTTTTCCCAGCTACCACTACTGGATGTGCTGCCATAATACTTCTCCAACAAAAACTTGGGCAATTACCAATAGTAGCATCAACAAAACTAGAAGTGGGGTAATACCTGGCTTTATATATTCTTGCCACCAGAGACTCTGGGTTTGTCAAAAATCGCCATGCTTGCTTGCCCAACATAGCTAAATTAAAAGCCCTCAATTCCTTGAAATCCAAACCACCAAACTTCTTGGGGATACATAACTTATCCCATGCTTTCCAGTGAATCCCCTTATCTCTGCCACTTCCCCACCAGTATCTATTCATGGCTCTCTCAATGGATTGACAAACTGTTTCAGGTAACAAAAAAACACTCATTGAAAAAGTTGGCATAGATTGAGCCACACTTTTCAATAAAACTTCCTTACCAGCCTGAGACAATAATTTTGTGTTCCACGATCCAATCCTCTGCCTGATTTTTTCCTACACATAGGAAAAAACTGCTCTTTTATTTCTGCCCACAAACGATGGGAGGTCCAGATATTTCCCAAAATTACTTGCCTGCACTACCTCAAGACAGTTCGCCACCTGTGTTCTGACCATGTGCTGGGTATTACGGCTAAAGCATATATTTGACTTGTTATAATTCACAACCTGTCCAGATAGTTCCTCATATCTCATCAAACATTCTTTAATCACAGTAGCCTCCTGGATATTTGCCTTAAAGAACAGCAGGCTGTCATCCGCAAAGAATAAATGGGACACCGGGGGAGCACCCTTGGCCACTTTACATCCATGTATAGATCCTGCTATCTGTTCTTTCTGCAATAACATCGAAAGTGCCTCAGCACAAATAATAAATAAATAAGGAGAGAGAGGATCTCCCTGTCTAAGTCCACGAGTCGGTCTGACCCGTCCCCCCACCTCCCCATTCACCATTACAGTATAACTCACAGTTGTCACACACAACATTATTAGACAAACCCATTTATCACTAAACCCCAGCACCGTCATCATTTTTTCCAGGAAACCCCACTCCATTCTATCGTATGCTTTTAAATGAATTAGTTCCTTATATTTTAATTGAAGGATGGTCAAATGCATGATTTGAATGACTTCTAATATGTTTTGAATGGTCCTTAAGATGTAAGAAAACCAATGCAATGACAAAACAAAATTTTGCAAAATTACATTTTGCAAAGTTACGAGGGTGGAAATTAACCTAGAAATCAAAGTTAATCTACAAAGTGTTTGAACTGCATTCAGTCTCCTTTTGGCGTGTGGAAGGCCTGGTTTTTGGACTATGCAGTGCAAAAAGGTTTAATCTTGTAATATATTATGCCTTGTTAGTTTAGTTCTTAATAGTTGTTGTGTGAAAGATATATTGTTGATGTGTGTGATTTTTGCTAAATCATATTTTTATATGTTATGTTTCAATGATAATCAGGTATAGCTAGAACACTCTTGTCACACACCTATGAATTTTAACACTACACGGGTGTAGAAATCGTAAGGAAATTTATTTACTAATAACCTTAGGTTTTACACTGTGTGAGCTGGTGAGAATTTATGGATTATTTTTTGAATTGGCTTAGTGTAATCTCTAACAACTTATAGGATTAGCTTGTATGTGGGTAAGATGAATTGCTTAGATTCTTCATCACTACCTTTAATTTGCTTGTAAACTACAGGGTAGTATACTCCGGTGTTAGACATGTATTTCTATAAGTCAACATTTATTATTTTGAGCATTGTATTCCAATTCAATAAATATAAAAAATAAAGAGAAAAGGGCCAAATAGGCCCTCGAACTTTAGCTTAAAAGTTAATTAGGCCCTTAAACTTTTTAAAGGTACAATTACACCCATCAACAATTCATTTAAGTGCAACGAAGCCCAAAAATAAATTAATGACCTGCTATCACAGGTCATTAGGGTTCAGGTCACCTTCCGGCGAATTTTCCGGCAAAAAAAAAAAAAAAAAAAAAAAGTGACCGGCAAATTTTCGACAAAAGAAGTCACCGGCGAAATTTTCGGCAAATCTGGGTCGGTTGCTGGTCACATTTCTTTTGTCGGAAAATTCGTCGGAAGGTGGCCTGAACCCTAATGACCTTGATAGCAGGTCATTAACTTGTTTTTGGGCTTCATTGCACCTAAATGAATTGTTGATGGGTGTAATTGAACCTTTAAAAAGTTTAGGGGCCTAATTGACTTTTAAGCTAAAGTTCGAGGGCCTATTTGACCCTTTTCCCAAAAATAAATATCTTATAGGGAAACTGGTCAAATAAGTCCCTAAATTTTACATGAAAAGTCAATTAGATCCTTAAATTTTTAAAAAGTGTAATTACACCCTTTAAAGGTCATATCGGTTCTTGGCATATCTCCTGTCATATATATAGAGTCCGTTTCAGGAGTGAACCATTGCTATCATGTGAACATGTGAATCCTCACGCACCGCTGAGATGTGAGATTAGACGGCCAAGATCTGAGGAGTGATGCAGTGGTGCATCTGGTGCAGTTGTGCAGTGGTGCAGTGATGTGGTGCTGATTGTAGTATATTTGACAAACAAATAAATATCCGGCGTATCGGGTTATCGATCCACAAGGAAGTGGGGCGTATCAAGCACTAGCATCGCCACCCAAACAGACCTAGAGGTGGAGTGACCGATGGCGAGATACAGAACTTCCTCTGTTAAAGATGATATCAACATGCTGAGAATAGATTGATCTTGTTGCACCCAGACGGCGTGAAGAAGGTTGTCGTTGGGCTAGTCGAGGACGAAGAGGCAACGACGAATCTGGCGGGCAGGCATTGGTGCCGTCCACAAAGCTGTAGAGATTTTGGCCGTGCAAGAATGGAACGAGTTGCGCTCTCCAGAACAAATAGTTCGTGGAAGTCAGCTTGATGGGCACATAGTGGTGCGCCTGTTGGAGCATGTTAGGACTCCGGTGTTCGGATTGTGAAACAAAGGCGGCTGACCGCCCGAAGAGTCGATCGGAACGTTGTCAGTAGCCAGGTGGAGGAGGAAGATGATTTTGGTTGGCCATAGGACCGTGCTAGGCTGATACCAAATGAGTGAATAATATTTGAGTTCAATATATTTGGAGAAGATTACACGATATATATATATATATATATATATATATATATATATATATATATATATATATATATATATATATATATATATATATATATATATATATATATATATATATATATATATATAGATTTTGGTTCCTGTGAGGTCAGGTCTTCCCGTGCGGTCAGTGCGGCATACACCATTAGGTATGCATAAATGCACCATACAGTGTTCGAAAATACACCACACAAAAAAAAAAAAAAAAAATACACCACACATAATGGTGTATTTACGAACACTGTGTGGTGCATTTCTGCATATCTAATGGTGTATGCTGCACTGACCGCACAGGAAGACCTGACCTCACAAGAACCTGACCCTATATATATGTGTGTGTGTATACACTAAGCTACAACACAAAAGCAGGAAATAAAGTAAAGACTAAACCAAAAACTCTAACTAAACCAGGAGACTCTAACTACTTAATAGCTACTAATCTATTCACGATAAGCTAATCCTAATAAAAAGGGTGATTGATTGATTGTAAAAGTAAAACTAATTAAAAGATGACAAGGTAGCAGGTTGATGAAAACAATAGAAAAAGAGTGGAATTTCTCGGATTCAAGTGCTTAATCACCTAGTGCGAATCTAAGGTGCAACATTTAGTTCGGGTTCAAACAAGTATTAGAATGCATACAAGGGACGGAATTACTCCCATAATTCCAACCTAAAATAATGCAAGTGAATATTCATTCCCATGATATAAACACTCAACGATTCAAGAAAAAACATTCAAGATAAATCCTTAACTAATATGTAATCTCCCAATGTGCAATAGTTAAGTACAATTGTGCGTGCTCTAAAATATGCCCTAACTCCCATTAAGACATAAAGATAGCAATGAAACAAGTTATTTAGGCCTTTAATTACTAACATCAACAAAATAGAACACAATTGCAACACAAGTCATAAAACCCAAATGTAAATATATTAGTGAATTTAAGAACTAGGCACATAGGTTCATAAACACTTTCACCCAAAAATTCCTAAGATGTTTTAGCCACTACTCATTGCTAGAATAGCATTCATAGCAATAATATCAAGGAGTTCACAAGCAACAAAGAAAGTAAAATAAAAGGGGAAGGAATTATCTCAAATCTTCCTAGTTTTTCCTCGTTCCTCCAAGGTAACTTGTAGCTCTTGATGTGATCTCTTCTCTTTCACTCTTTTTTTTTTTTTTTTTTTTTTTTTTTTGTCTCCCAAAAACACAGCATAAGCCCTAGGGTTTGAGGAAGATGGACCTTTTATAGTGGGAGCCAAATAGGGGTAGACTAGGAATTTCCGCACAACTTAAATTCTTGCCTAGGACGCATTTTCGATGCGTCTAAACTTGATCTCCTTTCTTCGTGTAACTTACTGGAAATTTTTGACGCGACGAATTTGCTTGAATCGGACATTCCTAGAATGAGATATGATCAAAATACTAAGTTGACGTCATATTTAGCGGGAATTACAACTCTTTGGTCTTTTGCTCTGCTTTTCCCTTGTTTTGTTCTTGTGATCAAATCCATTGAAAGTACCATTCTTTGGCTCTCTTTGAAGCATTTTAACCACCTCCTTAGAATCATCTTGACTCCCATTGACTCAAGATTCACTCAAAATGCCCCGAAAAGCATACGATTATCTTCAAATCAACAATTTATGCACCTAAGGATATAAACAAATGAATTAAGACACATTTTGCATAAAATCAGAGTATCTTTCACTCAAAATAGGTCTATATATGGGGTAGAATCATGGACATAAACACAGTTATCAAACTCCCCCACACTTAAACAGTTGTTTGTCCTCAAGCAAACACAAAGAATAAATTACAAATCATAGCAGCTCGGAAGCTACTCATACCCTCCCTTGCACAACCAAGCATACCACAAGAGAAACTTACCACAAAACAACATGTTTCAAGAATCATCTCAGTTTGGCACACAAGATCCATTCTCAAGCCAATACCCAAGCACCATGATCATTAGTAGTGAGAAATCTAGTGTGCACAAATACTAAGTTAGGTTTATGCAAAACTTGGCATCAGAAAAACATTCCATAGGCTTGCCTTCATACTCCTCCTAGTATAGACATAAAGTTGCATGCAAAGATCAAATAGGTCTTTTATTTGGCTTGTAATGAGGCTAAGGGTTAAAGGCTAACAAAGAAGGGGTATGGAAAATTAACAAAAGAGAAAGAATGTCACATTTATCTATCTTTTCAAAACTTAGAAGAGATAAGACAATAATAAGCAAAGTGCAACTCAAGAACAAAGCAACACTCTAATGAAGTGGAGGTCTAAAAAAAAATGTCAAACAAATAACTACAAACTTCAAACTTTTATTCTTCATTTTTTTTTTTGTCAGGTTTCTTTTTTTGATTTTTTTTTTTAGATTTCTTTGGAATATAACAAACTAACAAAGAATCAAACTTTATACAAACCATCAAGACCCCACACTTAAACATTTCTAATCAGTGTTGCAAAAATCCCGCTGAGGCGCCGATTGGTGCTAGACAGTCGCCCACCTAGGCGCTCTAGGCGGTCCCCATGCGCCTAGCAATTTTTTCAAACTTGTTTCTAACAAAAATTTGCTTTATATATAGACAAATGCATACAACGAATTTTGTGTCCACAGACCACAATTACTCAGAAAATGTTGAAGACGAAAAAGAAAGAACACCTTAAGCATTAAAATAGTGCACCTTAAGTACACGCACCTTAAGCACACAAACAAAACACCTTAAGAACACAAATCATGCACCTTAAGTACACAAATTAAACCACGTACCTTAAGCACACAACAAAACACCTTAAGAACACAAACCACGCACCTAAGGTTTTTAAATGACTCATCTTAAGTTTCACACAACTGACGCACCTTAATCATACAAATCACGCACCTTAAGAAGGAAAACAACACACCTTAAGAAGGAAACTCACGCACCTTAAGTTTCAACAACTACTCACCTTAAGCACAAAACTCACGCACCTTAAGCACAAAACTCACGCACCTTAAGCACAAAACCCACGCACCTTAAGTTTCAACAACTACTGACATTAAGCACACAACCCATGCACCTTAAGCACAAAAACAACGCACCTTAAATTTGACCTAGATCCAAAAATTATCAAATTGCCACTGCATTTTTTTTAAAAAAAAATTTTAGCAATCTTAAAAGTTGATTTAAGCAAGATCAATGGCTCAGATTTAACTGCACCTAGCAGTGTCAACCGCACCAGAATATATATATATATATATACAAATGCATACTCCGAATTTTGTGTCCACAGACCACAATTACTCAGAAAATGCTAAAGGAGAAAAAGAAAGAACATATTTGCTAGCTAGGTGGATTGGTCTATATATTTCTTGCTTGGGCTTTTCAGAAAGAACATATGGACGGCAGCAGTGAGATAGGAATGCAACCTAGCTAGTAGGCCAACCTTAACCTACCTACCTAAGAGAATTTGTTGATTAGAATCCACGTAGCACGGCAAATTTTTCTATTGAACATAATCCACACATCTGTAGACCATTAATACAATATATATTTTTAATATATTAAAATACACTATTTGTATAGTAAATGTATATTATTTGATAGTATACAAATTAATATACTTTCAGTACTTAAATAATGTTCATAGAATAATGATTGACGCATGCAGCAAGAACAGCTTTCACAGCACCAAACAATGAATGAAATGATAGTGAGATTGACTCAAATGAATTGGATATATAGATGGAAGGGATGAGTTGATGAGATGAGAGAGTACAGTGGTTTGCAGGGAGGCACATTGGATGGTGGTTGTGAATGTAGGTATGTAGGTATGTAGGTTAGCATGCACCGTTTGGTTCGATCACATGCACATGTATGTTGTACGTTAATCAACCTTTAGGTGCATTGCATTTGGTTCATAATAGTCAATTAGTCATTACATATATGCATTGGTACGTGTGATATAAGAGCTGTCTTACCTTTTCTGTAATCAAACTTGTTGTTCTTATTTCCCTGGCTTTTTGTTGGAACTGGATGGATACAAAACCGTAACGACTTGGAATTGATATGTCTCCATGTCCGTATGATATGATATATATAATTAAGGACGATGGATAAATAATACAATATAGTTTGACAATTTGTTCATATCTACAATTGTACCTGTTTTGAGTTTCTTTTAAAAAAATAATTAAAAAATTAAGAGAATAATCCTTACAAAGATGGATAATTGAATTGCTGAACATGAGGTTAGGATGTTAAATCTATCAGGTTTCATATCCATTAATAATGTCTATGAAATAGGAGAATTTCTCTCGTTGATGGAGAAGTCATGCACGGAAAATTAAATGAAAGATTGAATCTAGAACAAAAAGAACAGAGAGAATTTTTAAAATTTTGTAGGGAGTTAATTTAATTTTTGGTCCTAGATTTATAGGTGTCAATCCATTTTTAGTTCTTCATTTTCAGAACATCTTCCTTTGATCCTATTATTATTATTGTGACATGATCATTTCTGGTCTCCCGTCAACAAAATCGTTGAAATGTCGTTAAATACAAAGACATTTCGATCATTTTTTTTTTTTTATATACAAAGTGGGCTACCCGATATATTTTTATTTTTACTTTTTTTTTTAAAAAAAAAAAATCATAATTGAAGATCTAAATGTCCTTGTATTTTATAGAATTTAAACGGTTTTGTTAATGAAAGGCAAAAAATAGTCATAGTCATACAATAATACTAGAATCAAAGGAGGATGTTTTGAAAAAAAAAAAAAAAACTTAAAGTGGAGTGTCACTGACCAAAAATGAAATTAACTCATTTTGTAGATTAGATTTCTTTTTAATAGCAAAATCAAAGAAATGATATGATTACTGTAAGGTTTAAAAAAAAAAAAAACTATAGAACTAAATAAAGAGAAACAATCTCACACAACATAGCCAGCATGTATAAGAGAAATGGGACGCCCGACCATTGATACGTACTATGACAGGCATTCAAGATATATAAAGCCTCTTCACACGATACATCATTAGTTAAAATTTAAAGTTTTCTATAATATATTTTACTCTGTTATTTGCCTCTTTTAGAAAAGAAAGAAATGTATGTAAGGCTTTATTTGGCACGCCTAGCTGAAAAATTAGCTGAAAATTGAAAGTTGAAAAGCTATTAGCTAATAAGCTAACTAATTGGAATTAAAGTGTTTGATAAACTAAGATATTATAATTTTTATTAATGAAGAGTAGATGATGTTATTTTTATAAATTAATAAAAAAAAAGTTAAAAAGTCATGAGCTTATTTTGAAATGTTAAATGGTAGCATTTCAAAATAAGCTATTATTTTAAACTCTCATTTTTTACCAAACAGAACTTATACCTTATTTATAACTTAAAATAATCTATAAATTCTACTAAACTGAGCCAAAATGACAACAATATTAAAAAAAAAAAAAAAAAAAAAAAAAACCCCATTGTAATTTCTCCATTAAATATGAATTAGTAGATGAGTAATTAAATTTTCTATTGTCCGTCTAGTATTCTAATATGTAACAAGTAATTTATTCTTGATTAGTATTACATTTTTCAACATAAATAATATATTTTTATCTTGACCCAACTCATCTCGAATAAAAATCTATGAAACTCACCGTGAGACGACTAGGAAACTCACCCATAATTAAAAACATAAATTAATTTGCTTCCTCTCGCCTTTTCGCGAGCTTCGACTTCTCCGGCTGAGAGTTTTTTCAAGTTTTCTTCCCCTCCTTCTCTTTCCTTGTCCCCCTCCACCGCGTGGTCATGGCGAATTCAAGGGCATCTTCGTCTGCTGTTAATATCACCATGGCGGATCTTGATGAGGAGGATGTCGTCCAGCAGATTGCTAATGTGTCGCTGGGATCTACCAACGAAACAGAGGAATTTTTAGCGGTAGGTCGCTTAGTCTCAGACAAAGCTACTAAGTTCGTTTATTTCAGAGATACCATGGGCTCGGCTTGGAGACCGGCTATGGGTATGAATGTGCGGGAACTTGAAGGACAAAGGTATCTATTTCGTTTCTACCATGAAGGTGACATTGAGCATAAACTTGAGAATGGCCCATGGGCATTCGATCAGAATCTACTAGTACTCAGACGTATTACTCCGACGGAGGATCCTGCTACTGTTGCATTGGATGAAGTTGCTTTTTGGATACAGATTCATGGTATCCCTGTGGGACTTCGATCTGAGGTTATTTTGGAAGCCATTGGAGGTTTCATAGGAAGATTGGAAAAAGCAGATGAAAGAAACTTTGATGGTGCTCTCCGCACCTTCTTCCGGATTCGAGTGGCTATCGACGTGACTAAACCTTTGAAGAAGGGTATGAAGTTAAAGAAAGACGATGGGGCTTGGGTAACGGTGGATTTCAAGTATGAACGACTTCCCACGTTCTGTTTTGTATGTGGATTACTTGGCCATGGGGATCGTTTCTGCCCTAAGGTTAAACTACGTATCTGGGATCCATCACAAGGGAAACCATTTGGTCCAAATCTTCGTGCGGGGGGTCGAAGAAACTCATCGGCGGTTGGCTCCAAATGGATAGCTCCTGACATGACGGCGGAGCGGAATGCATGGACTACGCCGGGGCTGCGTCCGGCCGGGATGTCCCTAGAAGGAAAGGATTCCCCAAATCAGAACATCAATATTCTTTCCATATCAGACAGAGCTTTAGACGTGATGCATGACAAATCTTCGATTATTAAGGAAACAACAAATCTCCCCATAAATACCACAATTGTCACGTGTGAGGAAGGGGTTGACGGTGGTCTTGTGTTTTTTGACCAGAAGCGACGTCGGATGGAATCACTTAGCAACACTAATGATGAAGTGGCAATGGAGGTTGAACAAAGCCTCTCAAAAAACTTGCTTTTGGCGGGTACTGGTGGTTCCCAGTCCCGCCCTTCTCAATGAGTACTTTATCATGGAACTGTCGTGGACTTGGCAATCCACAAACAGTTTAGGAAATTTTGGCCCTAAAAGCCAAGAATAAGCCAACCTTTATTTTTCTTATGGAAACGAAAGTTAGAAGACAACATGCTGAACGTTTGAAATTGAAGTTACACTACGACGGTTTATTTTATGTGGATGGAGGTGGTATGAGTGGTGGATTGGCTCTTTTGTGGAAAGATAGGGACGTTGCACGGTTAATCAGCTACTCCAAAAATCATATTGATATCCAAGTCGATTTGCCAAATAGTCCAACGTGGAGATTAACCTGTTTTTATGGATTCGCAGACAGACAGGATCGTCATCAATCTTGGGACCTTTTGCGAAACCTGCATGGTAAATCGAACCTACCTTGGTTGGTCATCGGTGACTTCAACGAACTCTCATCCCCAACCGAGAAGCGAGGTATACATAGTCACCCGTCCCGTCTTATGAACGACTTCAATAGTGCCCTAGACCATTGTCAACTATTTGATCTGGGAATGAAAGGACTGCCATTCACTTGGGAGAAGAGTAAGGGCACTGCCGATTGGGTGGAGGAGCTGCTCGACAGAGCTGTGGCTAGTGCGGACTGTTGTATGTTATATGAGCATGCGACTGTTTTTAATAAGGAAGTTATAAACTCTGATCATTCAGCTATCTTTCTCGATCTAGAGAAACCAAGAATTCGAGTTCAACGTCGGAGATTCATGTTCGAGAATGCGTGGCTTCATGATGTTGGTTGTGGAGAAGTAGTGAGTGACGCATAGCTTAACTCTGCGGGTGACCCTATCCCTAGTCGACTAGACTACTGTGGTGAAAAGCTACGAAGATGGGGTGGAGATTTGGGAAAGCGCCTCTCACGTGAAATTGAAGCCCTCCAGAAGCGCATAAATCTGCTAAGGGGACGCACAGACCAGTCTTCTTTGAGTATGGTTCGTGACATGGACAACCAGATGCGCCTTTTAAGCAATCAACAGAACGTCTTCTGGCGTCAACGTGCCAAACAACACTGGTTGACGCAAGGGGATCGAAACACAATGTTTTTTCACTCATATGCGACATCCCGGAAGAAGAAGAATACTATTGTGCGATTAAAAAATGAGACCGGCGATTGGATAGAAGGTACCCCGTTGATAGATTTGGCTAAAGATTATTATTCTAACATCTTTCACACAACAGGTACCACTGTTTCTACTCCTCTTGATACGCTGAATCCGAAAATAAATGATGAGGATAATACAATATTGTTACAGCCTTTCACACCTGAAGAAGTAAAGGAAGCGATTTTCTCTATGGCCCCGGATAAATCACCAGGACCTGACGGTTTTAATCCGGGGTTTTTTCAACACTTTTGGGGCAGTATAGGTAATGATATCACGGGTTTTGTCCTTAATTGCCTCCACTCGCGAACATTACCAGAAGGAATGAACGATGCTTACATAACTCTGGTCCCTAAGAAAGCTGTACCTGAAAACATGGGTGATTTGAGACCGATCGCGCTTTGTAATGTCACCTATAAAATTCTGGCAAAAATGGTGGCGAATCGTTTAAAAGAGGTCCTCGACAAAGTTATATCTGAAACTCAAAGCGCATTTCTCCCGGGTCGATTGATAACAGATAATGTTCTTATTGCTTCTGAAGCTATCCATTACTTAAACCGTAAAAGAGAAGGTAAGGCAGGGTGGTGTGCACTAAAGCTCGACATGGCAAAAGCGTATGACAAGATGGAGTGAAATTACCTTCGTGTCATTATGGAGAAACTGGGTTTTCATCATCAGTGGATCGAGCTGGTAATGTTATGCGTCTCTACTGTCCGCTATAAGGTTAATATGAACGGGGCTCTCACAGATTTCATCACTCCTACGAGAGGCTTGCGTCAGGGAGACCCTCTTTCCCCTTACCTCTTCATTTTATGTGCAGAAGGCTTGTCTCATTTGATATCAAAATCTGTTGGTGCTGGCCATATATCTCCCTGTATTGTGGCAAGAGGTGCTCCAGGCATTTCACACCTTTTTTTTGCGGACGACAGCCTCTTGTTTTTTAAGTCTTCCATTAATGAGGCGAATGTGGTTGGTAATTGTTTACAGGCCTATGAAGCTATGTCCGGCCAAACGGTAAATTACACAAAGTCTTGTATTGTGTTTAGTAAAAATGTTGACAGTCCTAACAGATTTGCAGTAGCATCCGCCCTTGGAGTGAGTGAAACGGAAAGTATTGGTAAATACTTGGGCCTCCCTTTGGGTATTGGCAGAAATCGTAAGGAGGTCTTCTCTTTTATAGAAGCTAAACTTAAGCAACGGCTGGGTGGTTGGTCGAAAAGAATATTATCTAGAGCCGGGAAAGAAGTTTTGATAAAGAGTGTGGCTCAATCCCTTCCTACGTACACTATGAGTCTGTACTACCTCCCCGTCACCTTCTGTGAGCATATTGAGCGGTTGATGAATAAATATTGGTGGCTTTCTAAATCTGAGGGTGTTGTGCGCTGGTTAGCTTGGAACCGCATGGCTTCTCCAAAATCTGAGGGTGGTTTAGGATTTAAGAACCTCAACAAATTTAATATTGCGTTGTTGGCGAAGCAGGGTTGGAGAATGCTGTGTAATCCTAACTCTATTGTTCCCCGACTCTATAAAGCCCGTTATTTTAATGACACAAACTTCTTGGAGGCTAGACTGGGATCTAATCCTAGTTATTGTTGGCGCTCGATTCTTGCATGCATGGATGTGTTGAGGCGTGGCTGCTTTCGTCGCATTGGTGATGGCAGAACAACAAAAATTTGGCACTATCTTTGGCTGCCGGACAGGGATCATCCATACATTCAAACTCCAACTTCGGCTGTGCATGAAGAGGCAGTAGTCAATTCCCTTATTAATTCGACCACTGGAGATTGGGATACAGATTTACTCCGTGATCTCTTTCTCCCTCGTGATGTTAATCTGATCAAGTCGATACCCATCTCAATAGACTTTGCGGATACGTGGAGTTGGCGAAATGACCTTCGAGGAATTTACTCTGTCAAGCAGGGATACAGACTCCTTATGGAAAATGGGTTGCCACCGACTCCCCTGGAGGGCCTTATGGAAATCAAAGCTTCCTCCAAAAATCTTAGAACTTTGCATGGTGATGTGCTAGGAATGTTTTGCCTACTGTTGTTACTCTAGCTGCTAGGGGCATTGATGTGGATACTTACTGTCCTATTTGCCTTAATAATCCTGAAACCATGAACCACCTGTTTTT